CACATTGAATTCTTACGGCAATTGCAAATCGAAGATATTCGAAACCGCATTGGCAATGAAGCCAAGCTGGAAGAAGCTCGAAGCAAGGTGCACGAGAGATTTCAAAGCCCTGACAACAAATTAGACCTTGAAGTGAAGCTAGGTGCGAAGGGAGGCAAGAGAATGCCAAACCCGGGAGGCCCAGCTGCTAAAACGCGCTGACACTGAAGCTTGACAGAGGCAATAAATAGTTGTAGATGAGCACTTGGGAAGAAGCTCATCTAAGGGGGTGTGTCGGATAATGCCTCTGTAGACTGAAGTCGCAGAGCTTGGTGTAATTGCTGGATGTCATAGCGTCGGCTATTATGACTAAACTTAGCCGAAAGTTAAATTCGGACGAAAGGAAGTTTTTTGGTATTAAGCAGAGGGCTGCAGACTCTATCTGCAGCACGACCACGAACAATAATAATTTTGTAAAACAAGCTTAGTTAACAATGAGTCTCATAACGTGACAACTACACGGTCCGCGCACCCCGAGATGGTCCCACGATCGGGGCGCGCATTTGGGACCAGAACTTTCAGTATGAGACGGGCCTGACCATTGATCCAAACATGGTCATTACCTACTGGTTGTATCGAGCATCAAACAGGCTGATCCGCAGCTAAATCATCTATTAGGGTAGGAATGCATGTTGCGCTCTTTGTGCACATGCTGGCCAATATTTTCGCGGCCGCTAACGACATCATCTACATCACAATCAGCAATTATTTCAGCATCAACAATTCACTTCACGTTATTTTTCTGGTCTTATTTGTACGCTCTGCCTTTGGCTGGGCTGAGTGTATCTTGATTCTCAATTTCTTCAACCTCTCTGTGCTTTACTTCAGGCAATTAATAGGGGTGCTACATCAAATTACTACGCGTGCTACATCTTACGGGTGCTACACTTTTTGAAGCCTCTCATTGGCCCGAATCAGATCTGTTAGTGCAGGAGGTAGGTACTAAATTCTGCCACTGGTTGTCATGTGCCCGCCAAAACGCTAACTTCTCAGCACGCCCCCACGCGTTGCTTCATCTACACTATTTCCATCGTCATTGCCCTACCTTGTCGAGTAATATGCCTTGAAGCTCTGCAATGCTTTCACCAACTATTAATATCGCCAACATCAGCCGTCGCAAAAGTCCAATTAGCCTCATCAATTTCTACACAAATGCAACCGCGGCCATTGTCCGGACACAAATATTTTTTGGTCATCCGTCGCTGGCTAGGTTAAATCATGACGGAATGCAGCCAAAATTGAGTTGGGCCACACTCAGTAGGTAGTTCGTCAACTGTTAGAACGTAATGTAGCGCAACTATGTTCACCGCTTTGTGTGGGGTCGACCGCCAGCTGGTCCCATTTTAGGCCAATTGGAGCCTGGAAAAAGTGTAGCACCCGTAAGGTGTAGCACGCATAGTAATTTGATGTAGCTGTCGGATAATGCCTCTGTAGACTGAAGTCGCAGAGCTTGGTGTAATTGCTGGATGTCAAAGCGTCGGCTATTATGACTAAACTTAGCCGAAAGTTAAATTCGGACGAAAGGAAGATTTTTGGTATTAAGCAGGGGGCTGCAGACTCTATCTGCAGCACGACCACGAACAATAATAATTTTGTAAAACAAGCTTAGTTAACAATGAGTCTCATAACGTGACAGTAGCACCCCTATTAATTGCCTTACTTTAAGCATAGCAAGTTTTCACACTTCACTCACATTTCAGTTATCTGCGGCCCTCTTGCCTGGAATCTTATTGCCATCTTTTGGAACTGGGCAATTGCCGTAACAGCCGGAATCGGCTACAACGATACTATCGAGGGCTTTGGTCTCTTTTTTGTCTGGGCAATTCTCGGGTATGGAGTGTTTTCCCTCCTTGTCTTCCAAGTAAGTTGAACTCCAATAACTAGAGGATATTTCCAGTTCTGACTCTGCCTATAGGACCTTGCAATGGCTTTCTTGCTGGCGTACCTCTGTTCCAGCATCGCCATTGCGCAGCACTTTCTCCAACGCAGTGATCGAATGTGGATTCCGCCCGTCGTGATTGCAAGTCTTCTGGTGGTACTGATGTGTGCTGTCGCCGCTCGGTGCCTCTGGAATTTACGAGCGGTGTGTCAGAAGAAAGTGAACGAGTCTGTAGATGCTGAATTCGAGGAGCGTAAGGAATCAAGCTAAGCTCTCATTGATGTATGGTTTACGCTACAGCCCACTGGTGGAATGGGTTTGATCTCGACGCAAGATTCTGATAATTCCAATCGGACTTTCTGATAGCATACTTAGCCGTCAAGGGTGACCTACGTACAATGACACAACTAAGATAATCGATATCCGAGCTATGAGTTTCAACTTCCCTAAAACAGAAACCCCGTTCAAATCAACTATCTTAGAGAAACCAGTTGGACATTTTTGTCTTTCTAGTGCTCTTAGTTTCTCAACCATTTTGCGGCAACCTATCTCTCTTCCTTGCAGAACATCCCATTCGAAGTAATAAATTCTCTCGGTTCCCGGTAATCACCTTGTAGATTGTTAGCTGATAACGCATTTATAGGTAGGGAGAAGGATTTAACTTTTGTGCCCATCGCTTCTTTAAGTAGTTCAAGCTGGTAGAGACCGTGCCATATATAGCACGCCACGATGTTGCCCGTCGGAGATAAGTCTGAAAGCGTCAGTCGCAAGCTTGACAATTGCCACCACGACAAAGTTGGTCTTACAATATTTGTCAACTTGATCCGCCCCTTATCTTTCGTAGCACGTATGTAATTTTATTCTTCCATC